CCTCTTCCCCCCCTCTCTCTCTCTCTCTTTATCTCTCTCTCTCTCTCTCTCTCTCTCCCTCTTCCCTCCCTCTCTCCCTTCCTCTCTATCGCTTCCATACACATAAATGTAAACATATATAGTCATATGTCACATGCAAGCGTCAGTACTGCCGTAGCTTACCTGTAAACAATAATCAACAGGTGGAAGAGAAAATTACCGGTAAATTACAATCTACAAGTGAGAGATAAACTTCACAGGTAAATCATCATTTACAGTTGAACTACAAGCTACGGGTAAATGATCATCTACGGGTGAAAGAGAAACTCCACAGGTAAATGATCATTCATCAGCAGGTGAGAGATAATCAACAGGTAAATGATAATCTACAGGTGAAAGGCAATTAGCCGTGGGTCGGCAGCATATGTAGTGATGCCTCGTCGCACACATAGAGCGCGCCACCCGCGTCGAAAATCACCCGTCAATAGAGGATCCCGACCTTCCCCCCCGCGGAGCTTCCTTCCGGGATGTCAGTACCCCTCCCCCTCATCATAATCATCGTCATCGTCGTCGTTGTTGTTGATGGTGATGATGTTGTTGTTGTTGTTGTTGGATGAGTCGGGCAGGTGTTCGGCTGTAACAATGTGATTCAAGTTTGACTGACAGAGAGAGAGAGAGAGAGAGCGAGAAAGAGAGCGGAAGAGAGAAAGAGCGACACATACAGAGAGAGAGAGAGAGAGAGAGAGAGAGAGCGAGAGAGAGAGAGAGAGCGCGCGAGAGAAAGAGCGAGAGAGAGAGAGAGAGAGGGGCACATACAGAAAGAGAGAGAGAGAGAGGGGCGTGAGAGAGAGACACACATAGAGAGAAAGAGGGGGAGGCAGAGAAAGAGAGGGGGAGAGAGATACATGAAGAGAGAGAGCGAGAGCGGGGGCGTGAGAGAGAGAGACACAGATAGAGGGCAAGAGGGAGAGGCAGAGAAAGAGAGAGGGGGAGAGAGAGACATGAAGAAAGAGAGAGAGAGTGAGAGGCAGAGAGCGAGCGGTATATATAATATATATATATAGAGAGAGAGGGGGAGAGAGAGAGAAGACGGCGCGTGGGACAGACAGACAGACAGAGAGACGCAGAGAGAGAGAGCGCAAGAGAGAGAGAGAGAAAGAGGGAGAGAGAGAGAGAGAGAGAGAGAGAGAGAGAGAGAGAGAGAGAGAGAGGAGAGTGAGAGAGAAACCATTACTTGCTACATCAACCATGGCATATTTAAGAAGAACTATAAACATATTTACTTTTGAAGATAGTCTAAAAAGACATATAATATGTTAAATGTTAATCATAGATTCTTTTTACCTTGCTTTAGGTTAGTTGCAAGAATGGGACAGCTAACCTATAATACTCACCACAATAAAGGCTGCAGCATATACAGACAGTGAGGCATGGCCTGATGGAAATGACTTCTCTGCCTCGTCAACAAATGGCTCATCTTTGATTGTGCACTGATAATTCTCTACAAAGCTAGAAAATAAAAGACACCCACACCCTTGAAAGACACAAACCCTTAAAATGGTTTCGTTTTTACCAGAGGCTGTTAGAATGTGTCAAGGTGCCCCACAACCAATATTAAAACAGCATTCAACAGGGTTACTACTAAATATTAGGGCTGTAACGATACACAAGCCTCTCGATTCGATTCGGTTCTCGATATTAGCCTCTCGATTCGATTCCTTCGATTCGATTCCCAAAATATTAAAATGTTATCTTATTTTTTATATTTTCATTATTTTGCAATAATAAATTATTAGAAATTGCCAATGAATACTAAATGGTGAATAGACTAGAGAGTCTGGAGAGTATAATTATATACACTGCACAGCCGCTGAGTAACATGGGTGAGTGGTGAGTAACACTCCACAGTATATAGCGTAGTGCCGCCATCTATTGGAGGGAAAAAGTGGTATCGAAATGGAATCGAAAATACGGGGGAAAATATCGATGATCAGATCGAGGGAAGAGAATCGCGATCCGATTCGATTTCGGTGGATCGTTACAGCCCTACTAAATATTATTGCTTTAAATGTAATAGCTCTGTGAGTAAAAGTATCAGGAGAGATAAGATGAGGCCCAACAGGCCTCATGATAAGCAGCTGCAGGCTTGTTAGTGTCACAGTCTGGTCAGGCTATAAAATACACGACACACAAGTTAAAGTGATTACGTCACCGTAAATAGTAAAAATACACGACACACAAGTTAAAGCAAAAACAGCTACACGTTATAAAATAGCTGAACTTGCCTTGTACAGTCTAAGGAAGGAAAGTCTGGTTGACATGCTTGAAAAAAGTATGGCCTTTTTCGTCCGACAAACGACTTAAGAATCTCGGTAGTCACCGCAACAATTCCATAGCCAAAGAAGAAGACAAAGGCAATTGTTGCACTCTGGATCATAATCTGATTCCCTATCCCAATACCAACTCCCACACTTGTGTTATTGGACGTTCTTAGCAGAAGCCATTCTGTGAATATCACCTGGAATACATTATATATTAATTATTATATAAAAAGAACATGCATGAGCACGTGCAATAGCTGTAATAGATGTCACATTGTGAGTCATGAACTCCATGCAATTCAACCAAATACAACACAGCAGATATATCACGAGAGATTCTCTCTCGTGCAACTCAAATAACTCTGTGGTTATTTAGCATGAATAAAGTGCATGTTGTGCATGCGCCAAAACTTACTATGTATTTTTAATCAATTTTTGTTGTGTTTATTCAGATCTGCTGCACATGGATGCTCTCTATTGTAGCAAAACACCTATAGGCTTGTTACGGGTAAAATTTCTGGTCAAATTTTGAGCTTGGTTGCTAAAAAATAACATTCAAATCTGATTTGTAAGATAACTAGGAATGAAATTGGGCAAACTAATATAAATTTGGCAGTAAGGTTATGAACTTATAACTAACACAAGGTGTCAGTTATTCCATTAAAATTATCAACAGTATGGATAAGATAGAGAGATATTATGGCTCTAAGCACTGCACTCATTTATCTAAGGACTGATAAAGTGGGAACTGCTGTATTAAGTAGCACACAGGCAGGAGTGAATAGAAAAAACATCGTTTTTATTCTCTCCTTGTATTGAGCCGATGCAGAAACGATATACTCACCACAATAACTGGAAATCCAAGAGACACACCAAACATAACGCCTGCTGGCACAGAGTCATAGTGGAATGTATACTTTAACTCTTCGTCATCACAAAAGAAGCCCCTTTTCCGTGGAGAGTAGCCGAAGAATACCAAACCTCCAACTGCAGCAACTAGAATATATAGCAATAACAAACAACAGATTGGACAAGTTTTATGGCAAATGGGCAAGTTTATTTCACAATTTATAGTATAAGGACGTAACATAGAACATATATATAAGCATTATTTACCTGTGAAGGACATTTACCAGTGCTGGAAATGTACACCATCATTATATGTAAACCATCTCATATAAGCATTAAAGCAATAATTATGTTCGTATCATCTGTAATGTGATTACCATCACAATACTATCTGTTGTTGTGTAGCATATTCTATACATGTATGTGTGTGCTTTTTTGGAAATAAAGTACATTATATAAAAAAAAAAAAAAACTGCAGCAACTAAATTGCATAAAAAATTCATTGCAAAAACTGATTCCGTGCAGTTATTCCAATAATAATATAAATACACATACACACGCACACAAAAACATACAAAGAAATACTTCTAAGAACAGAATTACGGGGGTATTATGGTATTATGGGGGATTTACTATTATCGGGTCGATAAACTTTAGCAATTAGTACTATACTACAAGATAGGTGGAACCACTATCCTTATGCATATATACAGATTCAGCCACGCATAGAGGTATCACAAGAATTAAGCTGTCGCGTAGTTTGGCTTGTATGCCATGTAAGCCATGTATTCTATAGCCTGACCAGCCTGAGAGACTATCGTTAATACACAGCCTGATGCCCTTCCACCTTATCTCTCCTAATGCTTTTAGGACCAGTGATTTAACAACAATATCTAGTGAAACCCTGCATGTGCGTGCACATACATAATACGTTCAAAAACGGATAGTATCATAAACATATTTAAATAACTACATTACGTCTCATATTATAATCTTTCTGCTAATACTGCTAATATAATACTAGTGTAGATATGTTCAGGATAGCTGTAATAGCAGCATTAAATAAGAGGCACTTGTAAGTCTAAATTTCTTACTAGTACAGGGTGCGAAATTAACGGGAGTCCGGAGTCAAATACTCCCTGATTTACTGTCGGACTCCCTGATTTGACATTTGAAAATTTGGCAGACGGTGCAACTTCATGAATCTTTAAGAATCAGAAATAGTATAGTATTATGTATACCTGCCAGAAATAGACCAAGATCAATGGCAATTTTCACTTTATGCAATGTCATGGTGGTCAATGTTCGACAAGTAGAGCTGGCACCGTTATTATGATATGGTAGTATCACTGTATTCATTCAGCACTATATAAAAAACAAAGCAACACAGAAATCAATAGCAATAAAAAAAAAGAATTTCCATAAGATATTTATATCAGTGATGGTATATATATATATATACTTCGCTCAACACCTCTAAGGCCGCCCACAGCAAGAAACTTGTCCAAAACAGAGGCGAGCCGCTGCTGACCTAAAAATCAGTTTCTTGCATAGAACAGTGCTTATAATGCACCAAAATTAGCTTAGAATACCCCACCTCGACACCCTTCAAAGGATTTTCCTGGGGCATGCCCCCGTGACCTTGCTAGACTCGAAATGCGCGAAGACACGACTCAGTGAA